GACCCTTCCCCATTCATTCTCTGTCTCTCTCTATCTCAAAAAATAAACGTTAAAAAAAAAATTAAAAAAAAAAAAAATCAAGTCCGGCCTGGCTCCTGGGCTTATACCTAGAAGGAGGGGATCTGGTCTGGGTAACCCAGGTACAGCCGGTGGGACGTCCAGGCCGGCTGGTCCCACTCTTGCGACCCCTCTTCCCGCCGCTCCGTGCGCGCGCACGAACCAGCACCCCGAGGGGACAGGGAGCGCTTGCGCAAAACAGATGGTGGCATCGCGGCGCTATGCATCAGACTCCCAGCGCCCAGCAGCTCGCAGCCACGGTGCCCAACCTAGCCACCAACGGGGCCACGCTGACAGACTGCAGTAATCACTCGCCACCAAATCCCAGTGGGTGGCTAAGAGCGCGCGCAGTAGCGGCCACGCCTTACTTCCGGTGCATTGCGGCACCGCCCCCGCAATCCGGAAGTAGAAAGAGGTACAACAACCGAGTCAGACTGGGAGCCCGCGGTGGCTGCGCAGGCGCTGCCAATACAGGCGGGACCGGAAGGAGACACAGGGCGCCGCCATGACAGGTTGGTCCTAAAGGGAACGAGGCAACTTGCCGGTTCTGTAACCGGAAAAAACGAGGCAGGGACAGCTGACCTGGGCGCCGCCATGACAGCCTGCACCGGAAAAGGCGGGGCTCTTCTCCCTGACTGATTTCCCTCCGGCACCGGCCTCGAGATGTGAGTAGTGGGAGCGCGTACCTCCGATCTGCCGCTTCGCCCCTTCCCTTCCCCAGTGACCTAAACCTAGGCCCGCACTCCGGGAAGAAGGATTGGCCTCTTTGTTCCTCGGAGAACCTACCCTTAGGGCCCAGCGCCGTCTATTACAAGCTCCATCTCCGCGTGGAAGAGAGAGGGAGGTCCCGCCCTCTGAACGTTTAGGCTCCGCCCCTGTTTCTCGTAGTAACTGAGGACTTTCAGGCCCATCCCTAACACCCAGTCCCTGCCCCCAGGATCCAAGGTCTGGTCCCTCACCCTGCAGACTTCAGGATTGTCTCAGGACTTTTACGGTTTTTATACCCGTTCTTAGAGCTGCGGGCTCGTCCCCCTAGATCACCTGACCATACGTTTTTGAACCTGCAGATCTGTGCAGTACCCCAGACCTGCCTTGTAGTGCCCGCAGACTTTTTCTTAGACCTCTGATTCTGCTCTGGATTTCTAGATCTTGTTCCCAAGAGCTTACTTCTAGGACCCTCCAGAGCTGTCCCAGAGCCCCATCCTCATCCAGGACTTCCACATCTCTAGAACTCTGAGACCCACCCCAGGATCCCCAAACCTACCCCAGGGCCTCAAGTCTCACCTCCGGTAACCCTGTCCTCAGGCCTAATCTTGAAGACTCTCTGGTCAAGAGACGCTTCCCCAGGACCCAAGATCTCACCACGTGGGCTTACAAACCTCTTTTTAGGACCTCCAAATCCTTTAGGGTTCCCAGGTTTTTTTACCCCTAGAATTCAGTGTAGTTAGGGCCCTGTTGAGGGATGCCTGGACTCCCAAGACCCTTCTTGCACGATCCCGAGGCTTCCCTTTGAATAATTAGGTCTTTTTTGGAAAAGATCTCCACTATCTTCCCAGAAGCCCTCCGACCTGTTCCGCATTCCCCAGGGCTCATGCCTTACCTCTCCCTCCACTTCCCTGACCCTATCCCAGGATCCTTCAGACTCCCTAGTGTTTCTGCTTCCACCTCCAACCCAGACCAGAACTCCCTTTCTTGTCTGTTGCCTGGAATTATCCTCAGCCCATTATGTTCCACAGGCAGGCGGCCCTGGAGGTCACTGCTCGCTACTGTGGCCGGGAGCTGGAGCAATATGGCCAGTGTGTGGCGGCCAAGCCTGAGTCATGGCAGCGGGACTGCCACCACCTTAAGATGAGTATCGCTCAATGCACATCCTCCCAGTGAGTGTGGGCAAGTATGAGGCAATGTGTGGCGGGAGGCAGGGGGCGAGGTGGGCAGTGGAATGGAAGTCTGAATGCCTGAAATGCCCTACCTCCACAGCCCAATCATCCGGCAGATCCGCCAGGCCTGTGCTGAGCCTTTTGAGGCCTTTGAGGAGTGTCTTCGACAGAATGAGGCAGCAGTGGGCAACTGTGCAGAGCACGTGCGCCGCTTCCTGCAGTGTGCTGACCAGGTGCAGCCACCACGCTCACCCTCGAATGTGGAGGTGAGGTGGGGGCTTATCAGTTCTAGTTGCTCTGACTAAAGACCTGGGAGTTATCCCCAGCCCCACCCTACCCCCACACAGACCTGCACTGTGTGCATCCAGAATCCAGAACAGGATCATTTCCTGCCCCTTCCCATAGCCCCTGCTTTAGTCCAGCCACTTTCCTGACCTGTTCACCTCCAGGATCCCTGCTCCAGCCTTTTCCTTGGTCTCCCTGAATCTCGTCTTACTTGCCTCCATACAGTGGCCAGAGAGAGCATAGAGGAACTAAAAATGAATCACATTACATGTTTGCTTAGAGCTCTTCAGTAGCTTCCCATTCACATTGAGAACAAAATCCCAGGTCCTTGCTGGGTTCTCTGTGTTCTTCCTCAGGCTTCCTTACCTGCTCTCTGTTCCCTTCCTCACTGCCCCTCAGCTGTACTGGGATGGGGTTGAGGGGGGTAAGTCTTACTCTCTTTAATGAATATAGTACATAAACAGATATGCAGTATAACTATGGTATTAAAATTTTGTGGGTGACTGCAATTTTTAAAAAAAAATGTCTATAAAGACCTCATGGGGAGCAGTAATAAAAACAAAGTTGAGGGGTGCTTGGGTGGCTTAGTTGGTTACGCATCCAACTTCAGCTCAGGTCATGATCATGTGGTTTGTGAGTTTGAGCATCGGGCTCTGTGGTGACAGCTTGGAGCCTGGAGCCTGCTTCAGATTCTGTATCTCCCTCTCTCTCTGCCCCTTCCCTGTTCCCTCTCTCTCTCTCTCTCAAAAATAAATAAATGTTTAAAAAAACAAAGTTGAGAAACACTACTTTAGATGTTCACTGTCTCCCCCCACTGGATGGACTGTGAGCTCCTAAGACAAAAGTCACATTTTGTACCACCTCCCTCTTAACACCCTCTCATTTGGGTCTCCATGGCTCTGTATTATCCCTTTTAATCTATTCTCTCTGAAGATTCCAGAGCAGTCCCAGAGGAAATCTGACCATGTTCTGCTTCCCTTAAAAAACTTTTCCATGGCTCCTCATTTCCACCAGGCCAGATCTCAGTTCTGGAACAGCTTATAGGTCCCTGCATGGTGTGGACTCTGGCCCCACCACTCCCTACTTTCCATCTCAAGCTCTGCGTTCCAGCCCCAGTGAACGTGCATTATTCGAGTGCATGCATGTCTGTCCTGCTGGCAGGCTGTTACCCAACTGTTTCCTTCTGCCTGGATTGCCCTTCTAGGCCACCTAGCTACTTGCTATTCCAACTTAGATATCACCTCCCTCTGGAAATCTCCCATGCTGGCCTATCCCCATCCCCAGGCACCCATGGTCTCTGAGCTCCCTCCATCATGGCTTATATCTTACTGCCTTGTCACTGCTTCATTCCTATTGCCTGTTGCAGAGAAGTTCTTGGCTAAAGGTTGAGATACCTTTCTGACAGGCCCTGTAGTCCTTGTTTTGTTTTGTTTTGTTTTGTTTTGTTTTGTTTTGTTTCGTTTTGATAAGGCAGCAATAAATGAAAAGTTCAGGCCCTAACAGCCGACACTAGCACGACTTTTGTTTTTTTTTTAATGAATATAATTTATTGTCAAATTGGCTTCTATACAACACCCAGTGCTCATCCTGACAGTGCCCTCCTCGTTGCCCATCACCTACTTTCCCTCTCCCCCACACTCCCACCCTGCTTCAGTTGTTCTCTGTATTTAAGAGTCTCTTGTGGTTTGCCTCCCTTCCTCTGTGTTTGTAACTATTTTTTTGTCCCCTTCCCCCATGGTCTTCTGTTCAGTTTCTCAAGATCCACATATGAGTGAAAACATACGATATCTGTCCTTCTCTGACTTATTTCACTCAGCATAATACC